TTGCTGACCATCTTTCCACTGGCCTTCATATACACCTTGCATCGGAATTTCCATTTTTCCAGTACCATGAATAGCACCTTTATGAAATTGGCCTACATATGTACGACCATCTGACCATTCCAATTTTCCAGAACCATGTGGTTTACCGTTCAACCATCGTCCTATAAAGTTGTGACATAACTTAGTGCAAATATTTTTTTATACATAACGCTTCTCAGTAAAATATATTTTAATACAATTCTACAAACCAGTATATTTTGCATCCTTAAAAACATTATGTTTTGTGAAAGTAAATGAGCTTGAGCGTGCTAATGGAGGCACATTTCCGATCACTCTTTGCAAACTGCATTTTATAGTATTTTGCAGGGCATGCAACCATTCATTTCGCTCGGAAGGAGTAGGAGTGTATAATACGAAATTATCCTCTGGTGTGACAACCGATATAGCATTCTAAAAAATATTATAAATTTATTTATAGATACATTTATGCTATTATATCAGTTTTCATTATTATAAAATATAATATAATAGATTAAGTTATTAATTTTGCATACCTGCACATTTTCGGAGTCGGGTAGAAGTTCTACCCATAACGTTCGAAGCGGATGGATTGTATGTGTATTCCCAGTAACATGTATGAAAATATCCGTTAGTAAAACAAACCAATGCGATGAAAATCTACCAGAATTAAGTATCGATAGCGGGTGTGCTCTTGATTCTCGAATGAGCCTTCTATTGGGAGATCTCAGTGATTCTCCTAGCTTCCCAGAATTTTCCCAAAATAATTTCGTAGCTTCCGCCTCTTTTTGACGTTTATCTTGTTCATCGTGTACTTGCTCCCATTTTATAAGAGCTTCTTGTAATCGCTCAACACCCATCTTTGTGCCATTACTTCTTATTAAACTATGAATCATATTCTTGTATCTATAATAAAAATATATATATATTACCCTATTCAAATTTAGTGTTATATTATGACATAATAAATATAAACTTGCATATAAACCTACCTGTTTAATTTACATAAAGGATGCTGTAATGCCATTGTTATAACAATTTCATTGCTATGTTTCTTTACATCACTACTTTTTAAATTATGTACAAATAAATTTGATACTACTTGTGGCACTTCAATGAGTTTTGCAATATGCATAAAACCACCGAGAGATATAACATCGCAAATAGCATTCAAATAGTATTTATATACTGTAGTAAATTCCTCTATATTGGCAACAATTGTGACTTCATACGCTTCTCCAATATGATTAAAATAATCCCACAGACTTATGACATTTAAAACGCTAAGGTGCATCAACTCTGCATAACAACGGCATAGTGTTTCATATACATTGGCTTCATGGGTCACACCGCTTTTCTTTTGAAACGGCTTGATGAGATTCTGATAGACAGTCAACATTTCTTCCAGGAAAATCTGATCGTTTATCAAATCTTCTGACACGTTTATTGCCGGTTCGTTTATCACAGAACAACAACTGTATTGCCCAGAACTGAAAATCTCTCTCGGACTATTTGATTCATCCTTGGTTTGTATGTCAAGTTGAAACATATCGCCAACTTTGCTGAAAAATCGTAATGTAATTTATAAGTAAATAGAAATAAAATCATTAATCAAGAAAGGCGATTTCTATTTCAATTAGTTACCTCGATTGTCCCATAAAATATAAACCATGATGCATCATTACTAAACTATGGAAATTGCCAGCTGCCATATCGATAGCTCTCTCATTGGAAGATAATTTTGTGGTGAACAACTGAGGAGCGCTTTGATCTACCGTGGTGTGCAAAGCGACCTGCTTAAAATTGTTTCGTCCCCACGCAAATACTCTGCCGTCCAGTGTTAAAGCAAGTACGTGGAAGGCACCGCAAGATATCTTTCTGATACCAGTGTGACAAAGTTTCGTTACTTGTACCGGCCTTGGTCGTTTAATAATATCTCCCGTTCCCAATTGCCCGTACTGTACATCACCCCACGTCCAGAGTTCCGTTGCCAATATGTTGCTGCCGGTACGGGATAACGTATTGATCCTTTCATTCAAGCCATGTTGGGATAACTCGTGTTCAGAAGAGCCAGTGCTCGATGACCAAGGAAATTCTTCGCAACGTAAGCTCAGTGCCAAACTGGTTGCAGTAGGCTTTATGTAAGTATCTCCATGCTCTTCTAAGTTTTCGTTGCTATCAGCTTTAGATTCATTAATATCAGAACTACCGCTCATATGTCTAGATAAAGTTACAACTTTACCTCCTACATTTTTAACTCCTTCGTAAACTAAGTTCGCCATATTCGAGACATTTTGCTTTATCAGTCTTGTTGACCGATCGACACTTTCCATGGGTATGTCTTCCTTGGCGCTTCCATAAGACGAAACCCAAGATAGTTGCCTGGTTAGAAATTGACGAGCAGTCTCCGTGTTTATAAATATAACATTTCTCTTCTCGTCTTTGTCGGAATCTGTTAAATTATTCAGACATTCCTCGCCATTTTCAACGACGTCAGACGGTTGTTCCTTTTTCTCCATTTCTGGCAGAGGGATGTGCTCTTTACTGGCAGTGGACAGAGCACTGATGGAATTTGTCGAACGATCTTCGCTAAACTGCTGCGCGTGAAGGCCAGTGAGACACGTGTCTGACGATGTTACACTTCCAGGACTTAACATAACGTTATTAAGACATTGTGGACAGGAATTAACAAAGATCTCCTCCTCTAACTCGTTTTCACTATCCGTTTCATCTTTCATAAGTTTAGTGCTTTTTCTCACAGCGGCCACATTAAAATTAGAACCACAAGCAATCTCAGACACGGTCCTCCCTTCAAAAAATTTAACTTTCTTTGGTTCGGTACTACTTATGTCTATCTGCGGTTGATTGCCGCTAGCCCATAACTGCCCATTGTCCGTAACGAATAATGTTGCTTGATCGCTAACCGCTATAAATTTCACCTTTACTATCTCATTTTCTTCTTTGTATCTGCAAATAAAACAGAACGTCTTTTCTATAATCAGATATTTTACTGATACTTACTGATAATAAACATAACATATTAAAATACTCAAACAGCTTTAAGAATAAGTAAGTCTTATATATGTATCTATGATAAATAATAGTAGATATATAAAAATATCTTGTACGTTTTATATATTTAATAGAGTAACATATAAAAATAAATTTTGCATATACCTATTATAAATAAGGCAAAATTAAATAATAAAAAAAGAAATAAATAATCTTTGCAAAGAATAAAAAAGGAGATAAGACAGCAGTCGAAATATAAGAATGGGTTTATACAAATTTTAATTGTGGAAAAACATATTCGACGTACGTACCCGTGGCTACAATATTTTACTTCCTCCTTGAGAACGATCGAATCTACAACACTCATGTCTTGAGGATTTACTTTCAAAACATGCCCGCTGGTGTTGACGACGAACAGGTGCTCGGAATTGGACGCCAGGTCGACGACGTCGAACTGGGCCCGTTTGAAAAGGAGCGCGGGACATGCGTCCTCGCGGAGCGACACCTCCCCGTGGTAGAGGTTGTTGGTCGTGGTCGCGGCGAAAACGTGATCCCTGACGGTGACGAGCTTGCATATGACGCCGTTCGGCTTGTCGCCGAACGCGTAGGACAATTTGTCGGCGCCCCTCCATAGATACATGTGCCTATCCATCTCACTGTACGTGGCCTGACAGATAAGGTGGCTCGCATAACCTATGCGGTAGTCGCTCTACGAACCTCTGTTTAACTGCCAGCGACTGACGCCACTCTTTCGTCATATTATCTGTAATAACGTTTCCCCCGTTAAACACTTCCGTGAACGTACCGCGGGCGATTTGTAGGGCGGCATGATTGAACGTATGATCTTTTTACTGTGACTAACATCCGGCAGGCAGGGTCAGGCAGGGGCAGGTACTGTACCAGTACCGATATCAGCTGTTGGACGTGACAGTACACGGGATGGGAGGAAACTTTCGTGCCAGGACTGCATGTCGTTTTTTTTCGCCCCTTTAAGACCGGTTTATATGAGACTTTAGAATTAACGTGTTTATTGTTTTTTTTTGTGGATGAATTTTTTTGTACTTTCCGTCTTCTCCCTTTTTCTTTCCAGCAGCCAATTATATCTCTGTGTCATTCGAAATGAAGAAAGTTTATAGGCTGCGTTCAGGGAGCGCGCTATTAGCGCTATTGCATCATTGGGTGCGTTCAGCCGATACTCCGCTAGCCTAGCGCACGTAAGCAGCGAGCGCTTTGCTACCATTTGCTACGGAAAAATTTGGCTGGACAGAAGCGAGCGCTTGTTTCCTCTCTTTTTAATCCATTGGGTCAAAGGAGAGGAAACGAGCGAAAACGAGCGAAAACGAGCGACTGCTCACGATTGCTAGGCTAGCGGAGTATCGGCTGAACGCACCCATTCTATCTTTATCGCTCATCAAGTGTAGAAAAAGGATAGAATAAGCAAATAGCGCGCTCCCCGAACGCAGCCATACAGTGCAGCTCGCAATTAAAGAACAAACTTATTAATTAATACATACTGTTTTCTATTGTTGAACTACGGCTAGTTCAAAGTTTATCTTCTTTCTTCCAATGTGGAGTAAAAAAAGAAATTCCGAACTAATGCAGCCAGGTTCAGCAATAGAAAACAGGCCCTATATTGATGATGTTCATGTATAAACTGCTGAACTTCTTGTACCGTTTTATCTTTCTTTTTTTTTTACTTCCAACGTCTAATTTGTGAACGTAATGCACAGATTAATTAATTCTATTGGCACGCTATTATTATAAGCGATGCGATATTTTATTATATTCATAGATACACAAAAATATAAAATTTTCTTTGAATTTTAAATACAGAAAGTGCAACGTGGCCTGACAGCCACAAAGAACAGACCTGCGCTTTCCGTAATATCAGCTTCATCGGAAAGCGCCAATGAGTGGCCGCTGTCGGCGACATAATACAGAGGATGAGAACGAAAACTTAACGAAGCTTTCCAAGTATTGTTCAGTATCGAAAATGGCGGCGAAGAGTGGTGGTCACGATGAGTGGCCCACGGTGATGAAGCCGATATTGGGGATATCGCCGCGTTCGTTTAATAAAAATGACGTTATCGATCTCGTAAAGAGCATCGTTAAAAGGTAGGTGCGATTCGTCGCGGATCCCGGCGGCCGTGTTTAACCGCGCTCCTCTCGGCGCAAAAAAAGCACGTTCCCCTTCGGCGGAACAGAAATGGTAGTCCGCCTGTCACCGCGGATCCGAATTCAATCCGACCTTTTATTCCGTCCGGCACTAACACCCGTCCTCTTTGCTTCTGTTTTCTTGCAGCGAAAACAAATTTGTCTCCCACGAGGATCAATACGATACTTTTTACACGGCGGTCGCTGCCTTGTCGGCGGATTGTATTAGCGGTTGCGCAAATACGTGTAAGTAACAGCGCGCATCCGCGTGCGAATGACTACGCCAGAAAACGTTTTTATTTTAAACATACATGTACATTTATTTAAAATTCTGAAGTGCTCCCAATTATTTTGTTATTCCAAGACTGCCATGAGAGACGTATAAAGAAAAATAGAAAAGAAGAATACAGATACTTTTATTTGTGGAATATTTGTCCTTATGGGTAGATAAAATATATTTAGCTAATAAAACACTTAATAACTTACAATTAGGCATAATATTTTTGGATAAATAACATTAAATAACTTGGGTAAAATATTCATAGATATTTTAGGTGAGTTACCTAAGTATTTTACCTAAGAGATCTAAGAATGTTTTATTTTTCTTTTCTCTTTTTCTGTTTTTCTTCACTTTATATGTCTCTTAAGACGATCTTGAAGAAACAACTTGAAATAATTCGAAATACTTGAGAGTTCCAATGTATAGGCTTGTTTATATATGTTGGATATAAATACATATCTAATCTTACAAAACGTCCTTTTCAGTTGCCAAAAGTCAAATACCTATTGTTTGTCAAGCATGCAAAGTGCTGCTTACTTATCTTGTGGACAAGTTGTCACAACAACAAGCGCAATCTGGAGATACCGCATCGACGGTTTTGACTACGAAGCAGTTACTACTCCCGATACGTGCGCTATGCACAGGACAATCTTTACTTACGTCTGCGGAAGAAATTGCTCTTGTTTCTGTAATAAAAAATTCGAAAGTACCGCCTTACGTAACAGTTTTGTCAGGTGGAAAAGAAAAGGAGTCCGCTCAGCAATCTGTCAAAGAATCTATGCGGTCTCGTTGCGACTTGTCCACCAGTATTCTCGAGCAGTTGACAATGCCGTTGCAAGATTTTTCATCATCTTCAATTCTCACTAATGAAAGTTCTATGGATAGTACGAACAAAAATACTAATACCGCTGCAGGCGAGACACATTCTGACACTAAGGTTTGTAAATATAACTGTTTCTTTGTGACTAACGATAAGCAAGATATATTTTCTTTGCTTTATAATTTCGTTATTTTTGATAAATTTGACATTTTTGATGGTCATTACATGCTTTATTGTACATATGTAATCATAATTGTTGTTAAAATTGTAGTATTTTAGTGGAATGAATGAATTTAAAACTAAAAGAGCAATGATTTATTATGTTACAGATGATGTTTATTGCAAACAACATAAGCACATTGCAGAATATGGGAGCAGGTGATACGTTGTTGGATATGTGTTTAAATCTCCTGCACTTGTCACGTTATACCAGAAAGTATCAAGCTTATTTATCTAAAAAAGGATTCAGCTTACCAGCGAATACCTCAGAAGCGCATACAATAAGGCACAGTTTACACTCTGTCGTTAGTGATATTAATATTGTACATAATGTGATATCACTCCCGATACTTGAACCTTTGACACCACAAAAGTTGGAAAAATTGTCGCTGCTGACTATGTCTTGTCTGTATTGTTCAATCGCGAATGCAACAGCGTCAAGCATAGTTGGCATAACAAATGCAGTATCACCTAAATGTAGTACAAATACTGCAGCAAATAGTCAAACCAATCAGAATGCAAAAACTACTGATGAGGAGTACGATACTTTAGCAATTACGGTTGTTGAGAAGAGTTTAGAAATATTTGGCCAAGTATCAAATGTTATTAAAAATAGCACGCGTGCAGGAGGACATGTGAGTAATTTCTACGAGATCTTTCTCTTTGATATTGCAAAAATTATATTTTGTTTACTTTATAATATCTATTATAATTTTGAGTATTTACATTAATTCATCATTTTATAATTTTAATATCAATTTGTTTATAGACATATATTGATCTTATTTTTTTATATAGCTATGTAATTACCTTATTATTACCTAATTATACCTTTTTTTACTCTTATACCAGATTCTGCAAAATCATTTACTTATTGGAGTATGGCTTCTAGTCGCTGGATTGCAAGCGCAATTAACTGTGAGCAGTTTTAGTGCTGCAGATAAAGGAAAAGAAGAAAAGGGAAAATCACCAAGTAAAGCTCGTGATGGAAGTGGACGTGTAAATCTTATGAAAGTGTAATTATTACATTTTTTATATATATTATCATATCTTACTTTGAAGTTTAATTGTAAAGACTATCCTGAAATTACATTTTGTATTTTTTTTGTATGGTCCTGGCCATTAAAATTGTAACATCAAGATATCACATGATACATGACATTAGATCATGATTATTTCCATATGTGTCGTGCTCATAATAATTTTCATATTCTACCGTGATTTATTCATCCTGCAAATTTTGTTCAAATATGACATTTTTTTTCCAATGTTGTAATTTTAATAGTCAACACATACGTCTTATTTTAATAATGTAACATATTTTTATATAATTAGGCAACAAGGATTTGGCGTATTATCAGTGGCATTAGCATCACATGCACTGAATTTAATGAGCGCGCTTCTGGAAGATGTATCGATTGAAGCCAATTCCGATGTGGTTGTGGCAGTTCCTGAACCAGCGCCACTGGATATCTTGTCTACCGCTACAGCATTGCAAAGAGCAGTAACGTTCCTACAAGCAGTGCCATTGAATCATCTGCTATTTTATCTGGCTACTATTAGTTACAGAAAGGTATTGGATTATTTTATATGCATTTGTACTAATATTAAAACACTGATAATGTGATATTTTATTTTTGATGTATATTTTATTTACCGCAGGCATGTACATTGAAAAGAGTACAAAAACATCCTTTAGAAGGAGATGCATTGAGTCAGTCTGATTCTACTACATACTATGAAGATCTTTTGAGTTGCTCGGAGAACTCCACTGATGAGGGTAATATTTCAAATTTATTCAATATAATGTACTATATTTATATACGCTCAGTATATAAATTGTTTTTTAATAGTAAAATGAGGTCATAAGAGATATATATTTAGAATTTATATATACGTGCCACACAAATTAAAATAGTCTTTATTTTTTTATGTAATATTTCTTTTATTGTTGCCAGTAACAGAAATGCTTAAAATATATAGATGCTATTCAATGTGTTCTATTATTTTATTTTATGGAATACACATAAAAAAAATTATGTTAATTTTCCGAATTTTCTGAATATTAATACATGCTATAGTCGATGTGTGCAAATTAATTTTGAAGTAGTTTGTGTAAATGTATATTGTACACAATATATACACTTGGATGCAGCTTCAAGATGCTTACATTAATATACAAGGTGTTTTTTTAAAGAGTGCTAATTATGCAGCGCTATTCTTTATCAAAAGTTGAATCGGAAAGTCTTGAACCATTTTTTTTTATATTGCTTAATAAAGCATTAATTATTGATAAAGTTAATCCAATTAGTGCCATTCTCTAGCCGGGCGTATGTCAGTAATATACGTGCCTGGCAGTGTGTGCTCATGCATACTACCAGATGCAGGGCTCACTGACGTACGTCCGGCTAGGACAGCACTGATTGGATTGACCTTATTTAATAATTACTTTATTAAGCATTATAGAAAAAAAAATGATTCAAGACTTTCCGATTCAACTTTTAATTAGGAATAGCGCTAAGTAATTAGTGGGCCCTCTTTAAGAAATACTTTGTATACATATTGGTAATTTGATTAGTATACTGATATGTATTCGCTATATGTATAGAACAAACTATTATGTCGGCAGAGGAGGACAGCGAACCTATTTTAGGATTATGGTTTGAGGAAACTATTGCTCCATCGGACGAGACTTCAACAAATGCTAATAAAGAAACAAATAACGAAGCAAGTGCGGAACGCACTACCATTACCACCATTGTTCCTGATAATCGAGAGCCCCATGGTGTATGTTTCTATAGTTATAATTATTTTCTAAAATTTATAAAAATATTTTGACATAAAAGATAATATAAATATCTAATATGGATATACTGATAAAGGATGGCTATGAGAGTCAGACGCAGTTATCGGTGCGTAAAAGATCCAATTCACTTATTTATTTAACTGTGTATATATTCGTACGTTTCGGATCGGGATTGAGCCATTTTCAACGAGGTGTACAAACAAAAATTACAAATTAATAATTGCTCCCATTCTCCCCTCTTGTTCGGTGAGTTTCAAGATTGGAAGATCCAAAAACGACATTGACTATCAAATTAATATATGTAAAAATTGTTTTCTGTAATTCAATTTGGATCTTCCAATGATCTGACTCTCATAGCCATCCTTTATCAGTTTTTTGTAATTTCGAGAGTCCAATATTTATTTTTTGATTAATATGGATATGTTATTTATGTATTTGCATATATATGTTAGATATTAATATTTATAATTGATGTAAATTTTGTAGCAAATGAGTTAATTATTGATTTTCTTTTTTTCTTACAGTACATTTCACTTGCAACAAAAATATTTCAATTTATGAATAAGCACTTAATTGGTAGCAGAAGTACGTACGTTCGTGAATATGTGGTTAATGGCTTAGTTGAGCAACAAATGGTAATATTGGCGGCAATTATAAGAGATCTAGATCACGAAACAGCTAGAACAGAAACAGGTAAATTTATATAGTTATTATATTTTTGGTATCTTTTATATTTCAACATTTGCTTTCACACTTCATATTACATTTTAAATTTCTTTTGCATTTTGCATTAAAAGCATAGTATTGTAATACAAAGTTGCACTTTTAGGCACAATTTCTGCATTTTATGGTGCTACGTTGGGCGCTATGTATTCGGAATTTTCTCAAGCCTTAAGTCGTTACACTCACAACTTACTCGCATGGAATACACTAAGTGAATCTCTGCAAAATACTTTGCTTCAACATTTGGGAGTGAGTCCTTGGTCTACAGAAAGCAGTAGCTCTACCACGTGGCCTCTTCAAGTGTATCCACGAACTCTCAGCGTACTGGCACAGGTGCGTTATTTAATGACGCTGCAGTTGTATTAAAATTCTTTAGGATAATCAATACCTAATTTCTAGCATATATTATATTTCTTTTTTTTATAATTAGGTGTTGCTGTTGAAACCGCAATTAGAAAGAGAAGCTGCGTGTATAAGTATATGGCATCGGTTAGTAACAACTATGGTTGAGAATGTATGCAATCCTCAAACAACATATGAAGCTGAAAATGAAGGTAGAATATAGCAAATTTATCTCAACGATTTTATATATACATATGTTTTAAAGCTATAATATAATTTTTTCTTTATTGCATTAACTGGCTCATTTATGTGTGCTTATTTATGTATTCGTTTCTCCGATATACGTAATTGTTAATGTAGCTAAATTTTTAAATATATGTAACATCCAAAATATTTTATTTATTGCTAGAACATTAATTATTAATATATGTTTGCAGATTTAAACGTCGAACATGCCCAGTTGGTTCTCTTCCTATTTCATTCTCTGAATTTAATGCAAAAGAAATCTGTATTACTTGTAACTGGAAGTGGTGCAGTGCGTTGCAGCGAAGCAGTCAAAACGCCAATGAAAGATTCTCAATTGTTGCACTTATCGCGACTATTATTATTACTTGAATACATGATGAAGCATCTGTATGATGCGCATCCGGTATTGCTTGAACAAGTAAGACATTTATATATTCTATTACCATATTTGTTTATCAATTCTATGAACTGCATTATATATATATGTCGATTGTCGTTACTTTATATTGCAAAGTAAATTATTATAAAAAATAAGTTAAAATATTTAACATATTTTAACTTATTTTAATTTATTTAGTAATTTACTATCTGCAATATTTTATTATGATTTGGTAATGACACAAATTTATTAAATGCTAAAGAAAAATTATTATCTCAATGTAATCTCATTGTGATGCAAGATACCAGGGCCACCAGTGCAAAAGTACCGCCTGGGTGGTAGTAAACATCTTGTACATATTTATTATATTAATTACGATTAATTATTTTAATTTCTTCAAAGTAATAATTATTTATGTCCATCTTTTCTTTTTTTTTTTATACAGGTGCAATGGAATCTATTTTCTGCGACAAGTTTAGTATGCGATACAAAAGAGGGAAATAAACAGACTGCCAGGGCTTTTACTCCATGGGTAGAAATAGAAGATAATTATCGTAAATATGGTTCACAAGATGAATTCTCAATGAAACCACGTTTTTATAATTTATCAAGAACAGATTTTAATAACCAGGACGCACCGAAGTTGGATGGATTGGTACGTTTTGCATGTGGATTAATTATTGTAGAAGAAACACGATGTTTTATAGAAATACTTTTTGATTAAAATTATATTTACCAATATTTATCTATTTTAATTTACAACCAAAAGTTTTTATGCGTTTCTTTTAATAATTTTTACGATAATAAAAATCTAATTAATTCATATAGTAAAATTTTCTTTCAAATATTCAACTTTTGTGATTATATTCTATGTATAACGAGTTGAAATCTTTTATCTAATTGTAAATAGTCTTGCAAAGTTTTATATAATGTAAAATATATTTATTATGCTTTACAGGCCTGCAACTTTATTTTGGGCACTCCCGATAAAATGAAATATCCTCTCTTGGTTGATGCATTGATCGATATCCTAAACGTACTCAATCAAACTGATATGCACAGAAAAGGCAGTGCTGATAATAAGGAAAAAATTACATTTACTGGACTATGTGCAATTCAGTATTGCTTTTCAATATGTTGGGAATTATTATTGATGTTGCCTCCCTCAACTCCTTATATGAATAAACTGGCTCTTGGTGAGGAGATACCTGCTGGACCTATGCTGCTTCACTCGTTGATATGGGGGCCCAGAGCTGCGTATAAAACTTTTACCGGTTGGATGAAAGACTGTTTAGTGAAGCAAGGAATGTATACGCAGTATGCGGAAAATTTGTTAAAAACAGTATCATCCACCGTAAACTCTCTTAAATATGACGTTACCCTCGCAAAGAATTGTATCATTTCGCTTAAACCCGAATATAATGCTACTGACAAAATAATGCCAAAAGCATCATTGCCAAAACTTGGTTCGTTATGTATACTGGCTGCAGTTGTAGGAAAGCTGCAAGTTCTTATGGATGAAAGTATATCGAAAAACTCTACTGAGAATATTGAAACTTCCAAGAGTACACAGAATGCGGATTCCACGCCTTCAAACAGGACTAAAATGATAATCGAGATCCTACCGCATATTTTATCGTTGACAGATGCTATTCTATTATCATGCCGATCTAACATATTGTACCATACGTTTGAATCTGTCGAAGAACATAGGAAATATGGTATGCGAGATTATTTGATTCTGGACAACATTTTATCAATGGCAGGTGCAAATTGGGAAACGGAATCGTCATTAGTTTCATTTTTACCGAGTTGCGTTAAATCCGCCCTGGACAAGTGGAAGAGTATCGCGTTTGCTCCTGTGCCTTGGAATACATATGCAAACGATATAATACCAGCAGAGAGTTACATTTTTACTACGGTGAATTATCACGTCAGTTCCTTATCTGAACATCCAACTTTCTCTATTAATCCGTCATTGAAGAATTTGCTGTATTGCTTGGTCTCATTTATGATGGAATACATCACTTCTGCAACAGCCCCGGAACCACAATCCGACGTACATTCTCAAGCCGTGGATATTCTCATTTCGTTGTCAATGGATGCTCGTACTGACTATCTACGAGAGATGGCTACCAACACTCTGACTAAATTATTAGGACAGGATAATGATAATGAGGCGCGGCTCTTGCGAGAACATTTGTTTGTGTTAAATCATACTTACAATCTGATAATCGAATACACCGATAATACAGATGGATCTATTAAAGTTGTTATTGATGAGGATATCTTGGATCAGTGTATAAAATATTGGGAGCGATTATTGGAAAAGCCTCTTGGATGTAAAGCTTTAGACTTGTTCTTCGCGCCCGACTCAAATCGTAGTCTTGTATCCATCTTACTGTCTATAACGTCACCTCAAGCTTCGCCGCAGTTTAGCACGTACGTTTTCCAGTTTTTCACCGCGTTATTCAGAACGACTGAGAAACCGGGTGACGGATCCCTTGATCGTCTCTGCAATTCGGTGGCTAGTTTTGCTAATGTTGAAGATGAGAAACTACAAACATGGTTAAGACACGTTATATTGGGAGTAACAAACGTACCGGCGACTATTTCTACAACGAATATACCAACGCCCACAGCTGGCACTGCGAATACATTGGTAACTGTTTCCGGCACATCAGAGGATAGTCAGAAGCCAGATGAAAGAAATAACGCATCTAATAACGAACAAGCTCAATGGGCAATTTCCGATAATTCCAGCAATCAGCCTGTAATAACTAGTAACGACGAGCAGCTTACAATTCATGAGAACAGTCGTTTCTTGCGGGCACTTACAAATTACATAGTGAAAGATAAAAGCAATTTTAGTGCGAACGTCTCGATAAAAATTCTTCAAGTTCTCATACCACTGACGTACCATATTTTATCTCCTACCATCGAAGGCAATCGGTTTGTACACTTAATGCACATTATGTCTACATTAGCTGACGCTGGACTAGAAAAAGGACACACATTGCTGTTCAAAGCTGCAATTGAATGGGTCGAGCTCTGCAAGGAGCAGATAATGAACAAGGATCCGCAGTCCTTCGACAAGCCATCGCCGTACATTGAAGCGGATTGCTGTATATTGAACTACATAGCCGACATAGTGGGCGCGATTTGTCCGCAGCAGGCGCAATCTCAAGATCGAGCCATTAGCCCACCGTGGGAGGGTGCGGTACCGAATAACGACGTGAACGATAGCGATTGGGTGGATGAAATTCCGCATGACGATGATGATAGCGCGGCTGAAGATTCGGACGAGGATAGTCTCTGTAACAAACTGTGCACTTTCACGATCACGCAAAAGGAGTTTATGAATCAGCATTGGTATCACTGTCATACGTGTAACATGGTCGATGGAGTCGGAGTTTGCACGGTATGCGCACGAGTCTGTCATCGTGGCCACGATGTCACGTACGCCAAATATGGAAATTTCTTCTGCGACTGTGGTGCCAAGGACGATGGATCGTGCCAAGCGCTGACGAAGCGTAGCCCGCAGAGTTCGGAACATCAAGTAGTCAGTAACATGCCGTACAACAATGCTGGCGCACCCGCGGAAAGCAACCTGCTTCTCACGAGTAGCTTGCGCCGAAGAGCATCCAGCCCTGTGCATTTGTACGACAAGCATGAGAGAAGTGGACGCGACACTCAGAGACAAACGTATTTAGCGAAGCAATTAGAATCGTCTAAGGATTGGATATATTCTCAACTATCGAAGAGTGGATTGGTATCTTCATTGGTGGACTTGATGCGCGTGTTGGTACCCGCGGTGGATTCGTCTTGCCAACGATATTCACCGGTTGGTTGTCACGCGCGAGCCCAATTGGCACTTAAACGCTTACACACACTTGACAAGAAGTTCGAGCATACGGATCAGCTTATGTTGCCAACCTTGGGATCCCAGGAGGGCGCGTTTGAAAATGTTAGAATGAATTATTCGGGAGATCAGGGTCAAACGATCAGACAGTTACTGTCCGCTCATATGATACGACGTGTCGCCATGTGTTGTCTGTCATCTCCGCATGGTAAGCGACAGCACTTAGCTGTCTCACACGAGAAGGGCAAGATAACCGTGCTGCAACTTAGCGCATTATTGAAGCAAGCTGATTCCTCTAAAAGAAAATTAACTCTGACGAGGCTCGCATCGGCACCGGTACCCTTCACTGTTCTCTCGGTCACTGGAAATCAATGGAACGAGGATTTCTTAGCCGTTTGTGGCTTCAAGGATTGTCACGTGCTTACATTCAACAGTTCCGGAACGGTGTCCGATCATCTGGTATTACATCCACAGCTCGAAAGCGGGAACTTCATTATTAAGGCGCTGTGGCTTCCCGGCGCACAGACGCAGTTGGCGTTAGTCACCGCCGACTTCGTTAAAATTTACGACTTAGGAAAGGACGCCTTAAGTCCGCAATACTATTTCCTTGTACCGACAGGAAAGATAAGAGATTGCACTTTTATGCATGCAGAAGACGGTACGTTCCACATGTTACTTATGTCATCTGCCGGATATATCTACAGTCAAGTAATGGATGAGGAGAGCCAAGCCAAGCACGGTGCTTTCTACGTGACAAACACGCTAGACGTTTATCATCCGGAAATAAAAGACACTGGTCAAGTAGGTGGTGGAGGTGTTTCCATTTACTATTCTCACGCTCTGCAGTTGCTATTCTTCAGTTATGTTTGCGGCAAGAGCTTCATAGCGCCGCTGAAGCATATGGACTCTGACATTACGGTGGTATTTCAAATTAATCTCGCCAGTAACAAAACGAACGGTAATAAATCCAACAATAATCAGCCGCAACCGTTGTGCCAATGGAGCGAGGTGGCGAATCATCCCGGATTGGTCTGCTCCATCTTGCAGACCAGTAATAATCCAGTGATATTGATGATTAAGCCCGATACAATTATGATACAGGAGATCAAAATTATGCCCGCGAAGGCAAAGATCATGGACATGGTCGCGATTCGACATCCCAGTTCGAACGCCGAGCACCGCACGACTCTGATACTATTGTGCGAAGACGGAAGCTTGAGGATCTACATGGCCGGTATGGAGCAAACCGGATTTTGGATGTCGTCCACTGTGCAGCCGATTAGCACTACTTCCGGCATCAAACCGACGCGGAAGAAGAAAGCTAATAAAATGGGAAAACCATCAGGATCTATCACATTTCCCATTGACTTCTTCGAACATTGTCAAGTGATGAACGATGTCGAGTTCGGTGGTAACGATCTACTGCAGATTTATAATGTCGCGCAGATCAAGCATCGTTTAAATACCACCGGAATGTACGTGGTTTCTACGAAATCTATGGGCTTCAATGTGGAAGTTACGAACAACGACGTGATTTTAGTAATGACGGGAATAAGAGTTCTCTTCGGCAATCAAGATATTCAAAAGGCACCTCTGTACGTCGAGGTGAGTTGAAATATGTCTATTGCAGTATGTGAAGACTTTAGCTTTTTTAAATTTACCTAACTTTAATTATTGTATTTGTAAAGGTATTTGGTAGAAGTATTCGGACTACGCTAACTAGGAGCCGGTGGTTCGACATACCTTTAACGAGGGAAGAAAGTCTCCAAGCTGATAAAAAATTGACAATCACTTTTGGACCATCTCAAGATCAAGAGGGTGTCATCATGGTTGATTCTATCAAAATGTAAGACTACAATATCACCAAATGTATCTTCTTTAAACAAAAACATAAAATATTTTATATAGATAAATGTAAATCTTGCTATTAGTTATACTAGATTTTTTGCCTTTTATTAAGATATGGTAAAACCAAGGATGCATTTGGATGGCCTGAAGAAATAGAAGAAATTCAATCTTGTCCACCAACATCCGCACCAGTGACGACAGTCAATAACGAAACCGACAATACTATCGTTTCTGCACCGTTGTCTTCAATCAACAAGTACGTTTATATATTTTTTTTTATATATGAAGTATATAAAATAAGTTAATTATTTGATAAAGAAAGTATTCTTTAATCCAAGCATATATTGTATCAGAACGGCAAAGGATAGTTCGGTTAACATGGAAAGGTAAGGATAATTTTATTATTGCAAAAACAAAGTAGAGGAGTAGATTTGGCAATATTGGTGTTACTCCAATTAATAATATATAATAAACAACTTATAAGTAATGGCCGCTTTTACGAAAGAAAAATTTGTTTCTGACTGTCTTCGATTGATAAAATTGGGAAAGCATTCTGATTTATTAAAAGTTCAATTTAAAATTTCCTTGATTCATTTTTGTGTGTTGTTCGTATCACCAATTTTGTATATATATACTAATTATTCAATTTATGTAAAAATAGATACTTTATATTAATCAGTAAATGTAACATATGTCTATCTCAATTTTACTAATGAATATAATATATACATATATAAATATAATAATATTACATTTAAAAAATTATTTTTAATTACAGGATGATATCCAGCGTTCTTGAAGTCTTGGAATCTTCATTTATCTTATCCTCGCACGATGACAACAAAACCTCACTGAAAGCTACAGCCATCGACGTCGCATCACGGTTATTAATATTACCAACTCCACCATCAGTGCAAATGCATACGACAGCTTTGTTAGCTGCTCTTCACAGCACTAAACAGACTTATCATCTTCACAAGGTACGATCAATTATTCGTTAATAATTTCAATAATTATATATGTGTTCTAACATCTTTTTCCGTGTTTTTCAGGATCATGCATTGTTATCGCATGTACTTGAGTCTTTGAAATCAATGAGAGAAGCTAATGATCCTGCGGATATAGATGCGGAGAACTTCTACAGACTTGTACTTATTGTTCGTGCTATTGCCGTTTCCCGCCCGCATAATCTTGCGAAATTTGCTGAACAATATGCGAATAAATCAATTGACGAAAGTACCGGTATGTATTATAAATCATTGACGTTGTTAACATGTGAAAAACATGTGATAATTGAAATCATTTGTTTCCAGTACCCGTTTTCGAGAAAGATCGTCTAGAAGCTCGTTCGAGCACGAAGGCCGATGTAAATCAACATCTGGTTATTCAATTAATGGAGATACTGTGGTCTTTACATATGGCGTATCCGAAGAATATGGCACTTGCTCCCGTAGTCGTGCCGGGACTTACGCACACCGAAGGAACGGTTCACGCAATCGTCGAAATAATTCACGCTTTCACGATATGCGACGTCGAAAATAATACCGCGATAGCCGCCAAATTGTATCTGCAGTTGTTACTGTCTTCAGATACCACCATCAGTTTTAGCGCCAAACATGCGATAATCAGAGTGCTCAGGCCTAGATACAGACGCAGAAGAGTATATATTCCGAGTCCGCCCAACTGCAGTACTCCAGGTATAGAAATGGAAACGTCTTAGAAATGTCTCAGAATTATACGCATAACTTTTCAAGATAATTTGGGATAAAGATTTAGTGGATCGATTATATATTTTATCATACGTTTTTTCATGATTATTGGTATTTTTGTAGGTGTAGTTGCTGAAACCGAAGAAAAATCCGCGTCCGTTCCATCACAGGCATCTCAAGATACCGTAGAGCGCGATGTGGAACAGCAGTTTGACATCGAAGCTGTCGAGGCAGTGGACAGAGTGGCGGTCATGCTCGGCGCCGAAGGCAATCAAAATTCGGCCGCCGCGAGGGTAGTTAATCATCCATTAGAAGCGCTGCTCGGTGCGGGTAATTTCCCGCAGTTGCTCGATATGCCGCCAGACGCTGATGACGAAGCGATGGTAGAACTTGCGATAGCTCTGAGTTTACAAGACCACGAAGGAGCTGCTGATCTACAAGCACTGCGACAAGGATTCCAGCAAGGCTTCCCTAATTTGCAGGGTATACAAAGTCTTCAGAATCTAAGCGGCTCCACATTGCAAAGTTTGCAAAATTTAGCGGCGCAGGGATTGGTCCAAGTGCCAAATGCTGCTCAGGTAATGTTTCTCCGTATAAAGTTCATAAATTGTCTTTATACGTGCCGTCCAGATTTTATTTGATACTTAGATTTTTTATATTTGATAATTGAGAACGGTATTTTTTTTTTAATTAGGCCCAAGAAGGTGGACATTACTCTGATACGACCGCTTCCGCGGGTGGTTCTGACGATGAGGGATCAACCGCTGCCACCGATGGTAGTACTCTTCGGACATCTCCAGCCGAACAAGTGAGTTACATCTTAGCATACGTATTCTGCCTTGGCTATTATTCACCGAAAGTATGCGAACGTGGATCAACAGAGTCTTAGTATTTGCACATATCGTAGTAACGCTTGGGACACATTTTATGTTAGGGTGGTAGTGGTGGTAGCAAGGGTAGCGAGAGCGGTGGGAGCGATAGCGGAGGCAGCGCCGTTGACAGCATGACAGGGGAGCATAATGTTTCTGGCAGGAGCTCCGCGTACGGAGACAATGCTCCCGACAGTGCTATGCCTCCGATTGGAATTGGAGTCAATCAAGCGCCACGCTCTGAAACTAATACTCTAGATGTACCGACAACTTTCACTGTAAGTTCCGTGTACTCTGTAGTACAGGTTTACATAGCAGACTTACGTTCTTGAAAGCAGGAGAAACAGCGACAGCGCATGATGGACGTATTTTGCGCGTGACATATCAATATATTATTACATATAGAAATTATTTTTATTTCTCTTTATAATATAATATTTTTCTCTTTTCGTTTTGTCTGATATCATTTATTGTTGTTGATACATCTGATACATTAGTCTGATGGTTTAGTTTGATAGTATTTAGTTCATTCTGATATCTTGACAATTCATCTTTAATGAGCAATCTTAAAAAAGAAGTTTTTTGAAATCTTTATGAAATCTCTAATTCCAATCTAGTAGTTTAAATCGACCAAATTTTTTCTTTTCGCATGTTAAAATTTTTAGATTTTGTCCACATGTGTATGTCGAAAGCTTCATCAAATCACAAGTTTTTATTTGAAGATTTTATTATATCATTGTGTATGTTTCACAAATTAATCATAAAATTTTTAGAGAGTGATTATAGGTATATTATAGTCATTGACCTTATAGTTAAATCATCAAAGCCAAAATATATCATAATTTATGCATAACATATACATAACATATGCACATACGAAATTTATTGCATTTATTCTTCTTATAGAAAATTAAATTGAATTTAATTATTTGTGTGCATTAAATTGTCATAAAAATATATATAAAGTCCACTTTTAATATTACATTATATTCAAAATTGACTTTACGAAATTTTCCTTTATTACATTTATTTGATTAAATTCTTAATAATTAAAGTTTTGAGCCTCCGTTCTCAAAAGTTGCCTTTAACCCACACTGCCACAGAAATATAACTTAAAAAAAATCAAATCGTGTACGATTGAATATATTTCATTATTAAACATTTTAATAACGTGCTATAAGACTTCGTTGAATCCGTTTTATTATCGGAGTCTGAATGGAATATAGAATTTAACATGTATATCCCAACATTGGCTTTGTATATAAAATAACAGTTGAAGATTTTTTAATGACTGGATAGATAATTATAGAAACTAAAATTATTTGAAATAAGTAATGAAAGTTTTATCGAGTGAAAAATAAACCGCACTCCATTGAGACTTCGAAGTTTAAGTCGCTTTATTTGGGACTCTAATAGTATATTATTCATTATTTTATCAAGAAGCTTATGACTAAGTAATCATATTGCACATGTATTAATAATAAATTTTTTTTGTACATATCTGCATTTTCTTATACATTCAAAATGTATCATTTCAATGCATATCTATTATTTTATCAGTTCTGTCTAAAGTTGACAATAGAATTCCAGTAGTTCTGACATGAGAAATCGTGAAATCAATCAAATGAGTCATACAAAAATGTTTTATATTTATGAATGATTGTGTTTGTCACCATGATAGACTACTGAGCAAGAAGAAGGTGCCGAGCAAGAACAGGGCGTTGAGCAGGAAAGTGACACAACTGGCGAGATTACTGTGAAACTACATGCTATACGGCTTTTATTGTTGGACAGATTTACGCAATTTGTGCCTAATTTAACAAATGTTCGAGGAGTGCTTGCCATTCCATTTATGCAGGTATTGTTTTATAATATTACTGGTCGTATTTCATGAAAATTAAATAGAAAGATAGTCTTAAAGCTTTTATTTCCTACCAGGTTGTGTTAATGTTGACCGCTGATCTTGATGGTCAAGAGGAAAGAGACAAAGCGTGCGTAGAACGTTTGTTACAAATGCTCGTGAAAGAGTTGGAGATGGACAAGCCTGATATAAACAACATATGCGAACGTAGCAACAAGAGGGAAGTTCATTTGGTTATCATGCGCTTACTAAGTAAGTGAATAATTTTCTATCTCAATTATAGGTTTATATTAATATGTTGTACATATTATCATTGATTTATTATTATTTTCTCAGGCGTTCTTATGTCTCGCTCGAAATATGCCGCGAAGACTCCCTCGGATAATCCAAACTTTGTGTCACAAACTACTGCTGCGATATTGAGCAAAGCTGGTATTATCGACTATTGTCTAACGTTATTACAGGCCTTACTTGATTATTGGAAAACGTAAGTTTATTTTAGCCTCGACATGTTTCAGTAGTCTAAATAGTATTATTTGTGGTAACGACATCAATATTTCACGACTATCAATCATTTTAATCTTATCGAAATATGGGTTTTCGAGATTATTTATCTCATACTTTTTTACTCACACTTTTTAATTAATTAAAATCTTATATAATTGAATCTTATAAAACCGAGGCATACATAAGACGAGGGTCGAAATTGAGGATTCGTCGATTACGAGTTTATCGATTACGAGCTTTCATATGGGGAGCTAGGCGTAATCTTAATTTCATGAATATATTCTGTTTATTAGCACCAATACAGAGGAGTCCGGTACTATGATCGGAGGCCAATTACTCAAGGAACATCTTACTACATCGCCTCCGGATATGTCACCGTTCTTTCTGCGGCAATATGTTAAGGGCCATGCTGGTGACGTATTTGAGCCCTATCCCCAATTATTGACGGAAATGGTACTGCGGTTGCCGTATCAGGTGCACAAGTACGCGGAAAGTACTGTGGTGCAACCTGCATTCGAACAGGTGATTGCCAATAGCTTTCTAATGATAGCTCTTTCCTTGTTTGCAAAAATAGACAATTAATCATTTCTTTTTAATTTGTGCAGCCATGGTATTTCTATCTTTGTGAATACATGATGTCGTATCAAACGCCGTTCGTCAGACGACAAGTGCGTAAATTGCTGCTCTTCATATGCGGTAATAAGGAGAAATACAGACAGTTACGGGATCTTCACGCCCTCATATCTCACGTGCAGGTGTGATTTTATAATTTGATATTCTCTTTTATTAAGTAAAAATAGTGTTGTAAACTGAGCTTGAATTATTAAATTTTTGTTCGTAGTCCGTACAACAGTGTTGTACTACCGGCGGTTACGATCCGCCGCACGCTCGTCCGCATTCTATCAATCTACCGTACGACTCCTTGGTGGAATTGATCGAACATCTCAAATGCTGCGTGGAAATTGCTACCAGTCGCACAGGAAACTGGCAACGATTCTGCTTAAAACAGAACACAGTTCTGTCGTACCTCTTCGCCATATCGACGCTCTTGGACGAAGGTGTGAGCCCTACAGTGCTTCAGTTGTTGCAATGCGCTATTTGTTCAAATAATAAGTCTAAAGAAGCGAAGGATTCTAAGACAAAGGTAAATATAACGCAATATATCCGATTATACAATCGAATTATTATACGAAAATTTTTTTCCGATGCACGTTAATATTTATATAAATTTAAATTAGGAATCGAAATCTACGACTGGTACGAAAGAGAGGCGTGAACGTGAAAAATCGGAAGATTCTGATACGGAGGCAAAATTCGAAGAGGCACAATGTTTGACTCTAGTCGAACAAATTCAAAAGCAAGTGCATCCTACATTATTGATGAAGTTTATACAAACTTTCCTCCTCGAAACGAACAATACGAACGTTCGTTTGCAGGCACATTCTCTTATACTAGCAATTTACAAGTAAGTTATCAATTTTATTATTCAAAAAGTTTAATTAATTATTAAACAAAATGAAAGTGAAATAGATGTAAATATAAAATATTATGTGCAATAAGGAATATAAAAATTTTTTTTATTCTAGAAATTGTGGACCGACAGATCAAGAAGTTTTGCTGGATCTTCTATGGCGTTTGTGGCCTCTGGTTCCAGCTTATGGCAGAAAAGCAGCACAGTTTGTCGATTTACTTGGTTACTTCTGTTTGAAAACGCCACATGCTGGAAAGAAGATGCACACGTACATGGAGCAGGCGGTTGCCGTTTTACACGCGCAGAATCAGTTACTCGCGCGACATCCTAACGCGAATCTTTACGTTAATCTGGCACAGTTCGTTGAATTGGACGGCTATTACTTGGAGAGTGAACCTTGTCTCGTATGCAACAATCCCGAAGTGCCAATGGCAACGATCAAGCTGTCGTCGATTAAAGTGGATTCCAAATTTACAACGACGACACAGATCGTGAAGCTAGTCGGCAGTCACACCATCAGTCGCATCACTCTCCGTATAGGCGATCTGAAGAGAACGAAGATGGTACGTACCATCAACGTTTACTACAACAATCGGTCAGTGCAGGCTGTCGTAGAATTGAAGAACAAACCGGCTATGTGGCACAAGGCGAAGAAGATTACGCTTGCCCAGGGGCAGACGGAGGTCAAGATGGAATTCCCGCTGCCGATAGTAGCTTGCAATCTCATGATTGAGTATGCCGATTTCTACGAGAATATACAAGCCTCGTCCGAGACGTTGCAGTGCCCGCGATGTTCCGCTAGCGTGCCAGCGAATCCTGGGATATGCGCGAACTGCGGCGAAAACGTGTTCCAATGTCACAAGTGCCGAGCGATTAATTACGACGAGAAAGATCCGTTCTTATGTCACGCGTGCGGATTCTGCAAATACGCTAAGTTCGATTACACCCTGACCGGCAGACCGTGCTGTGCCGTTGATCCAATAGAAAACGACGACGATCGGAAGAAGACAGTGGCGACCATCAATACTCTACTAGAGAAGGCGGATCGAGTATATAAAACTTTGATATCTAATAAACCTACACTGGAAATGCTTCTCGTTAAGATATCGGAGCATCGTTTGGATCGAGGATTGGAAGATGGTATACAGGTATCTGGCAGTACTCAGGTGAACAGAGCGATTCAGCTACTTGCTCAAAGATACTGCGGCGAGTGCAAGACTTCCTTCGAGGAGCTCAGCAAGATTATCCAACGCGTTCTAGCCTGTCGCAGGGAGCTCGTTGCGTATGATAGAAATCAACGTGGCCAAGTTAGTTTGCAGTCGTCCTACGGTACGTCCAGTGCGAACGACGTCACGAAGGACGAGACAATAGTTTCGCCGGTTGGACGCTGTTACGGATGTGCGTCTGCCGCAACGGAGCACTGCCTGATACTGTTACGCGCATTAGCCACCAAGAGTGTAGCCAGAGATGTTCTGTGCAAACAAGGACTAATACAAGAGCTCGTGGAGCACAACTTGCGAAAGGGTACGGTACAGATGCAAGAGGACGTGCGACAGCTGCTGTGCCTTGTCACGAGAGATAACGCCCAGTCGACCAAAGAGATATGCTCGCTTCTAACTAATCGAATCACGCTGACACTTCGCGGACGAGTCGCCACCCCTAATCTCTCGGTCGCCGTACGACACGAAATGGCTCTTCTCGCGGCACTCGTGCAAAAGGAGGACTCGTGCTGGGAACAGAAATTGCGATGCGTAATGCAGCTATTTTTAATGGCTTGCAAAGAGTCGAAAAGTCCCGTCGTAATGGAAAGCATCATATTGCCGTGTCTGAAAATTCTTCAAGGTCTTATCAAACCTGATCAACCGGTGTCGAAGAAAAATAAAGTAAGCATCCAACCGAACGTAGCTCTCCTCTGTAATGTATATAATGTATATTTTTTCACATGATTTTGATTTCAGGATAAAACTATCGAGTCTCTGGCGACTGTACAGCCACCGGAAGACGTCAGTATTGATGTGGGTAAATGGATCAGCGGTGATCCCAAGCATTCGTATTCCGAATGGCTTCGCCGCATACCGGCTAAGAAAACGGAACCATCTGCAGCTAAACCTCTTAAAAAGGTTGGTTGCAAAATAAAACGAGTAAATTAATTTGAATCAATAAAAGTAAAACAATTAAAAAGTCGTAATACTTGTACAATTATATATGATATATTATATGTGATATTTATCACGAAAAGATAATAGAAAGCTAGAAATTTTAGACTAATAAAATTTCAAGAATAGTAAACTTAGAGTAATAAAAAACTAGCAATTTTGACTTATTGTTTCCCTTCGTGACTCTTTGTTTTTAGGAGGAAGCTCGCGTATTGTATCTGATGGAAAAATACGGGCACAGGTGGCATCAGCGTTGCATGAGGCATCAAGGCGTTCAACCGCTGAGGTTGTCAGACGGTGCCTGGTTGAAAGAAGTTCTCTTTAATCCCAGTTCTCGTCTGGCACGGCAAGTCGCTTGTAACATGATCGAGAGCCTATGCCAAGGCATAGAGAGGAAAAAGGAGGTTCTTGTCTTGCTGACGTGTTACTTGGAAGAGTTACGTACTGCCGGCGAGAGCAGCACCGAGTTCCTCACGTTGTATCAAAGTTTAATCAGACAGTCGCCTTGGAAGCAATTCCTGGCAATACGCGGTGTAATGACTTTATTAGCGGAACTCTTGACCCGAGAAATAGAGGAATTGCACAGGCTAGAGGAGACTACGTTGACTAGCGATTTGGCTCAGGGATACTCGTTGAAGATGCTCACGGAACTTTTGGCGACTTTCTTGGAACAGGAGAATATCAAGCAGCAATATAAAGGCCGACTGGTCGGCGCGGTGCTAAACGGTTATCTCTCACTTAGGAGACTAGTTGTTCAGCGTACTAGACTGATCGATGATACGCAGGAGAAGCTGTTGGAACTTTTAGAGGAAATGACTACCGGTACCGAAGAGGAAACTAAGGCATTTATGGCAATTTGCGTTGAAACGATACAAAAACAGAATCCTCAAGATGTTCGTACTCCAGTGTTCATATTTGAAAGATTGTGTTCGATTATCTACCCGGAAGAAAACGACATCGGAGAATTTTTCTTGACGCTTGAGAAAGATCCACAGCAAGAAGATTTCTTGCAAGGAAGAATGTTAGGAAATCCTTATAGCAGCTTAGAACCTGGCCTTGGTCCACTTATGAGAGATGTCAAAAATAAGATTTGTCAAGATTGCGAGTTAGTTGCACTTTTGGAGGACGATAACGGAATGGAACTTCTTGTTAATAACAAAATTATCAGTCTGGATCTTCCTGTTAAAGAGGTTTATAAAAAGATTTGGGTGTTGGAAGGTGGCGAATGCGATGCCATGCGCGTAATATATCGTATGCGTGGCTTGCTTGGAGATGCAACCGAAGAATTTGTCGAAACTTTGAACGCCAATAGCGAGCAGGAGGTGAACAATGAGGAAGTTTATAAAATGGCAAATGTATTAGCAGATTGTGGCGGTCTTCAAGTTATGTTGGATAGATTGGCGGCGATACACGACGTGAATCGTGCAAGACCTCTTCTTCAAGTGCTATTGAAGTTGTTTAGATTATGCGTGAAGGTCAAGAAGAACCAAGAGGTTCTAAGCAAACCCGAATTGGGAGCTGTAACTGTATTTTTGGATGTTCTCCAACGTTGTCTCGCAACAGAATCGGAAAATTCTCAAGCAAAAATTACCGAGCAATTATTGGACGTAAGTATAATGGCAAAGAAAATATTCTTTATTCACATTATGAGCAACATGTGAATGTTTGACGTTGTTTTTAGATTATGGAAACAATACTGACGAACGCGGCATCGCAACCGTTCAGTGCATTCGAAGCATTTTCGCGCACTCTCGGTGGTCCGGAGCATATCAAGGCGCTCTTGTCGTGTACGCAGTCCACGGCAGTCAGGCAAAGTGCTAGCGTGCTCGCACATCTCGCGAGAGTCTTGGCGGCGTTGACTTACGGCAATAAAGAGAAAATGGCACTCCTGTGTGATTACTTCAAACCTGTATTGAACTTTTATAAGTTCGATTTCGAACACACGCCCGAGGATGAGCAGAAGCTAGAATTGTTCTGCATACTCACTCAAGGCATTGAACGAAATGCCATTGGTAATACGCTGAAAGATTATATCATAAGCATGGGCATAGTGAAAGATGCCTTTGAGTATATTACCGTAAGTAATAAAGCCATTCAAGTAGAATATAAATACGTTATATATGAATATTATATATAAATTTAATGAATGTTTTCTTATGTTTTTGCAGGTGCACGCCCCATGCGTTAAACCCACGCTGTTACGCACAGATAGCGACGAGCTGAAGGAGTTCATATCTAAACCAGCTCTGAAGTATATTCTACGATTTCTCACAGGATTAGCTACAGATCATGACCCGACTCAGGTAATGCAGATAATATATTCTATCTTTATAATCCTTTCATTAGTAAATGACGTTAAAATAATTTGTTGTTCTTTTATTTTGTTATAGTTGACAGTCTCGCAAGTAACTATTAGCATCATCCATCGGCTGGAACAAGTGTCTTCAAATGAACACGTTGGCTCACTAGCGGAAAATTTGTTAGAAGCGTTATGCACCAATAAACGAGTAGCTGAACTCATTGAAGAAGCCCGTCAGCACACGCGTAGCGAGAAGAAACGCTTAGCTATGGCGATGCGTGAGAGACAATTGGGCGCGCTTGGTATGCAAACGAATGATAAGGGCCAGGTCACCGCCAGCGGAACGATTCTTCAACAGATGGAAGACCTGGGCGATGAGACTGGACTGATCTGTGTTATCTGTCGCGAAGGATACAAGTTTAAACCAAATCTGGTAATATATCTTCTATCTCCTGTCCTTTTCGTTATGTATCTTAAATTTGGGAGCACGTGGACATTCAATGTTGTATTTTAGGAAATTTAGAATTGATTTCTATTAGCGACAATATATTAGCATTATGTATTTTATATTATTAGAAGTGTTAAATATTTTCCTGCATATTTTCTTTATTTAATCTCATCACGTTCTTTATCATTGTTTTACCACAGGTGTTGGGCGTTTATACATTCACAAAGCGCTGCAACGTAGAAGAATTTGAAACAAAGCAACGAAAAACTGTGGGCTACACGACTGTCACACATTTCAACGTGGTCCACGTGGACTGCCATATGTCTGCAGTGCGTTTGGCACGCGCCAGAGATGAATGGGAAAGCGCGGCGTTACAGAACGCTAATACGAAATGCAATGGACTACTGCCGTTGTGGGGCCCGCAGGTTCCGGAGTCTGCATTCGCCAGCTGTTTAGCTAGGCACAATACCTACCTGCAAGAATGCACTAGTCACCGCGATATATCTTACTCATCGACCGTTCATGATCTGAAGCTGCTTCTTCTGCGATTTGCTCAAGAAAAGAGTTTCCACGAGGACACCGGAGGTGGAGGTCCCCAATCAAATATGCACATAGTGCCGTATTTAATACACATGGCTCTGTATGTTGTTAATACGTAAGTATATTTTTATAACATATTAGGAATACGTTAAGTAATAAAGAGAAAGAAGACTCGACGATTACAAAACTGGAAATAAAAACAGGAAGCTAATACAAAAGTTGTATTGCCGATATTACAAATTCGTGTTTGTTTTTGCAGAACGCGATCGGCAACCAGAGAGGATAAAGCTTTAATGAATTATCTCGAAGTACCGTCAGGCTCGGCGTGGCTCGACAGCTGTTACGAAGCGGAGGGTCCATTGTATCAGTGCACACTTTCGTTACTTTTACTTACACCCGCTCGTTGGAAATCGCATAGACTTACACACCTCAATCGATTACTCGTCCTCGCACATCAACGTTACGTGTCTCCTTCAGCCACTACGAAGACCATTATGGAACCAAGCCTCAAGGATTACGCTATTTACAAAAGCATTCTAATCTTCTTCGGTCTAGTGGATTCTATTTATGTAAACTTCTTCAAGGTAGGGAGTAACTTCAATAATTTTTAATTGCATATCAATACGACAATTACATGTATTTATGTCTAAATTATGCTGTTTACGCTTACAGAAAGTAAATGTTTTATCCGACGACCAATGGCCTTCGGTTCTGGCTGAATACATCAGGCACAATGACGAAGCCATGCTAAAAGCCTCGGAACGCGTGCTTTCATCGTACCGCGATGAATTATTACCGTGCACATCATTCGACGAGTTTTGCGATATTGTTGGTAGGTTTTATAAGAAATCGAAAAGCTCATTAATTAACAAACTGAAAAGTTTTCATGATTCTTCTTAAGCGAATCTCTTATAAACTATCAACTTCATTCTTGTTTAAATTCTTCAATTATTCGTCTTTGTTCGATCTGATTAAGATGTAAATATTTCACATTGCAGGCTTATTAGAAGATATAAGGAATCCCACTCTGTACTTTACTGATGTCCTGCGACGCCTTGCTTGAAGATACGGGAAATTCTCATTGTGTAGCTTACTGCATTATTGTTACCGGCGAATCGATTTTTCTTTCTCTTCTCTCGCCCAATCAATATAATCCTTTTCAAGACTTTTATATCGAGAGGTTTTTTGTGTCCTAATAATTAAAAATTGAGATTCGACGTGATATATGTCCGACACAGAACGGAACTGTTCAGGGTGAATATTGCGTTATACATAGTGATGAAAGATATAGATTACTATAAATTATTCTTCATCGCTGCTATAAATCTTTACTTGTAGACAGTTGTGTATATGGAAAAAAAACTTATGCTTTAATAAAGTGCAACTAAATAAAAGTGTTTAAATATATATATATATATATTGATCTTTTTAAAATTATTTATTACCATAATCAATATCCTGTGGGTAATGTGCACGTTCCTAAGAGTAATCATTGGGAATCATTGGAATGGGATAAATAAAAAATCGTTAAAATACTATTTTGTACTAACAGTTTTTTCTGTTTACTACCATTAATATAATAGCAAATACTGTTACGATACATTGTATAGGAATGGTGTACGATCAGTGACGACGCACGATCATTTGTATAAATGTTTCTTCGCTCGCTATTAATTTCTATATGATTAATGACGTTACCGCTAAGATATATAATACTATTGTTAACACTATTGTCTACATTGTATAGCCTCCGTTTTCTCAAAAAATTGGTTTTGCGCGTACAATTTCATTTTATAACAAAGTTTTCGTTCTCGAATATTAGTTATTAAATTCGCCATCGCGGCGCGATATTATTTTTTGGCAGTGGAACCGATCGTGTGTAGAAAAAAGAGTATCAAAATGCCGAGTTTGCTTTCGCTCAACTTGGAGATAGATATACGCTGCACAAATACGTCCATGTTAAATTCGATTTGCACATTTATAATAATAGTAAGAAAATAATAGTATCAATAGCATGATAATAATACAGTGCAATAATAACGATAAGGATGTTATCTACAAGAGAGCAACGGCAGGTGATGAGTTACGAATGCCGTCGTGTGACGGTGACTTGCTTACAAATAGGTACGCACTTTTACAAATTGATAAATAGCAGATCCTTAAATTATTACGTAAGGTAAATGTACCAGTGGTCGCACACTTAAGCCACAATTCAGATTGTGATACAAATTTAGCCCATTTAGACGCATGCTTGGTACAAATGACTTGAACCATCTTGAAGCTTAGGGTTTCTAGTTTCTAAAACACATGCAATGTTTATTTTAATATTCAGTCATTTATTATTTATGCCACGAAAATGATAAAAAGGTCAAATGTACCAGTGTCCGCACAGCCTTTACTCGGTATGTCCCACCCAGTGTCCGCACAATACGATATTTAGGCTGCGGTTCACTTGATGCTACAAATGCTTCGAAGCATTCCTCCTTCAATGAAGAAAGAAGGAGAAGAAAAACGCTTCAAAGCATTTGTGGCGTCAAGTGGACCGCAGCCTTAAACCAAAATATATTCAGCCGTAACATAACCTCTCCATGTAAACAGCAAACAATTTTTCTGATACTGGTTGCACAGATTCAGCATGCACATTAGATTTATTGCAGATATATTATCAACAATGAGTACTTACTTATCAATCGGTTTTCCACACGATATTTTGTTTTCTTTTAATCGAAACACCAGAATTAATTCCGTAGTAACAACTTTGCATCGATCGAGAAACAGCGTGCTACGCGATGTGCGGTTACTGGGACTAGCGAACTTCGCAGGGTTGTACCAGTATCCGAACAGCCGTGACGTGCGAGACCGAATAAACAATTTAAAATAAATGGTAATCCGTGCAGAATCATACTTCAAATTTGTTTGTTATTACAATAACGTATTGTAGATCCCTACACAATTTTTAAATTTGCAATATTCTTCACGAAATGCTTAATAAATTGAAAACATTAAAGTCGTGTGCGGCGACTGGGACGTGTGCGGCCACTGGTACGTTTACCTTATCGGACGCGACTTATATCGAAAAGAAGAAAAGAGCTACTCCGCTCGCGGCGGCATTTTACTGACGAATCGTTGTGTACGGCGAAATATGCTAATCAATTAAGATAAAGGTACCAATACCCGGACATGTACCTATATCCGGACACCTTTATTATTTATAAGTATAACGCGAATTAAAATCAAAGATAAAAGTATTTTTTCTTGTAGTTTAAAACTTCAGTTATAATATCCAAACGTTTATTTCCATAAATTTATATTTTTTTAAAGACACAGACACAGGTACGTGTCCAGGTATTGGTACATTTCCTACGCTTAAGTGTCCGGGTATTGGTACCTTTACCTTAATCATTCTCTCCAATTATCCGGTGCAATCGTTATTCTCTCTCTTATTTTTTTTCTAACGATGTTGCTGCTCGTCGATACGCTAATTACACACGCGGATTTTCACACGCACGCATGCACACGCACGCACTATCGCGCAATTAATTAAGCGCGACAAACGTACACACTTACACGCTAACAAAGAGCTAGTAACGTCGCCGGCTCGATTTCTTTTAGCAGATTTTGCCCGACGTGGAATCGCGGAGGATCAATTCCTCGCGAAAAAGGGGAATGGGTGATCAATCAGCCACGTCGGGTTCTTTGATGAAGGCTGCTAAGAAGAGTCGGTCGAGCTGCGATGTTACTTTGCGGTCATATACGCTACAAAAAAAAAAGAAGGAACTAATGAGATTTTCCGAGACGATCTGATTCTGTACGACAGTTTCGGTATCGTTGCGTAGATATTATATACATCGTACAACTATATAATCCTACCTACATCGGTTTCTGATCAGCAATCACAATTCCGTGCGATTAAAAAGCGCCGCTGTTCTTCGTTATGCATTATATCGCGAAACGAAACGCTTTGTCCTGATAACGATGTAAAACGACCCCGAGTATACTTTCTCGTGCTGCGTTACGTCTGTCCGGATACATAAAACGAAACGAACGCCGTTGAAAATTCGATTCCCGATTATTTCTCGATCGTCGTAATAAGATACATCGCACAAGCAAACAACTTGCGTGAAAAATTTTTCGAAAAAAAGCGATCGCACGCTTTTCGCAGCTAAAAAGGGTCAAACTCGAGGAACCGTGATCGAGAGCTTGTCCGGTTCCTCTTTGTATACACGATTCGGCGTGCCGAACGCCGCGTTTGGAAGGCATTTCAGAAGGCATTGAATTCCTAGTGTGTATTGTCACGAGTTGACATCGATTGCATGCCTTGACCTACCTACACGTGATTCCGTTTACGTGCGCCTCGCGATCGTAAGCCCGGCCTGACGCGAAACCGACGTCCCGTTTCGCCTCAGAGAGCGGCCAGATGTCGAAGCGACCTGAATCCTTTCGAGCGCCGCTCCGGGAAAGCGCGACGTACGAGTGATCATTGTTCCCGGCGAAGTGAGGACAAATGTCGTCGCGTTAAAATCGCTCGAAAAATCATGAAGCAGGGGTCGACGCTCGGTGATACGTTGTGCTATCGAGCGACTACGTATCGTTAATACTTTTATAATACTAAGAAAAAAAAAACAAGAATTCTCCAAAGTGGCAGTTGCGCGGTTAGTATATCGAGCTTCGCGGGAGTTCTTCTTAGAATTCCCTTCTACGAAGTCCTCGGCGTATCCGTTTCCCTTCGTCGGAAAATTAAATGAGAAATACTCATAACGCAAGGAGATATCGAACCGTCTGTGTATATAAGTGGAAGTAAACTTTTAAAAAGTCTTCCTTAGAGAAAAGAAAATATTTCCGAAATATGTACATCTAGATAATTAAAAATTATTTGAAACTTTAGAGACTAAACTTATTCCCGTAGAAATAGATAATTCTATATACTTGTCCGTTTTCGTCATGTTATTCCGCGAAGATCGTCAGTAAAAATGTATTTCCAAAACGACCGAGTTGGAATCGATATTCGATCCCTTTTCAGAAAAACGACCGAACGGAGAAAAAGGGTGCGTAAAAGGATGATCCACTCTCGAACGGTCGCACAAACGGATTACTGCGCGGAGCAACGCACACACGACGACAAATTGCGTGTACGCGAATTGCGTGCCGAACGTTTTTACGCGCTGCACGCGCAACGCGATGGAGCTCCTTTTCCTTGCTTCGGTTCGATACCGAAACAGGACCGTTCGACTGATCAGTGATAAATTGTAGCTCGGCAGCCACGATGTTGCATGTTTAATGCCTGCAGCCACAGTAGCCGTCGTGCCAAGACGCGGCTAACGACGCCGATGCATATTTATGCTAAGGGAAACGAAAAACCGATTGTTCCTAGATTCGATAACATTCGATGAATAATGAAGGAGGAAGGACCTGGGAAGAAAACCCGTGATGAACCCTTCGTCCTTTGGTAATACGAGGCGTAAAACGTACCGAAAGTTACGAAGTGAGGCGAGGCCGTTCGCAATTTCGTCTCGAACTCTCGTATCCCAGATCTCGAGAGAGCACAATGATCATTAGGCTCGAAGAAGCTGCCTTCCCGCTTTTGCTCTCGTCGAACGTTAATATTTTACCGTTACGTTACAACAGCGAGCCGATATTATTAATATAAATGAATCGTTGTCCGCTGGAAAAAAAAAAAAGAATATTAACCCGCCGCGATCATAAATCACGCATTGTTTCGGCCCGCTACCAAGGTCCGAAGAGTACGCGTCATTGTCTGTTTTAGCGGCGTAGAGCTATTACAAACTCTGATTTATGAACGATGCGAATCCGAATATTATCTCAGTAATTCAAGTCGGCGATACAAACGTCGCTGTATAATATAACGTCGAACTGATCGATCGAAGGAATATTTCCGCAGGATCGATTCAGCAAGGTCTCTTCTCGGGTTCGTCGACCTGCGTAGATCGGGAGACCTAGCTGTGAAAATGTTTTCTTGTTGACATTTTCCAACAATACGCGAATTCGAGAGAGGAAATGTCTGGAGGACACTCGGAGTGTTTAGGACGCTTTCCGAACGTATGTTAGGTACGTTCTGTATGGAGAGCCTCCATTCTAGCAGATGGTCTCCAACGGCGCGGTTTTGGTGCTCGGATTTTGCGTCACGCTGTCGCCCATGCTAGGCATCCCGTGGCTGGTCGTGCTGTGACCGTTACCCTGTCTTCCGGCGTTGGTCTGTGGGTTCCTGCTGAAGAATCTCTTGAGCGCTGCTCGGACCTGCGGCTGGCAGCCTACCGCCGCGAAGATCAGCACTCCCTGGAAGGCGTTTATCAGGTCGGTGAAGTACCAGATGTACTGCGGCCCGCCGACAGCCCACGAGACAACGTCGGCCACCCAGGTGATACCCATCACGATCACCAGCTTCATGCATATGCGGCCCAGCGTCGCCCTGGAAACAGAAACGAATGATAAAGCTAAATGCGAGATATATATAACGCGAGATGAGATTTCAAGAAAATCAGGAGGAATGTTTACGCTTGAGGACACGATATTTCGAAATATCGTGTCTTCAAGAATCTCAAAGGCATTACGACAATGATGGAAAGTAAAATAATGACGGTGAGATGTCATGTCTGTAATTTCAGCCGAGCTATATCGATCAGTCCGCACGTGTGAACCCGAGAAGCCGCAGGCACATGAAAGCTCACGAGTGGAATTGATTGTAATAGCCCGGTTGACATTTCGCTATTGTTTAACGTTACGATCGTTGTGCTAGCGAGGCAACGTCGCCGAATGCGATACGAATGCAAGAAATTATTTATCGCGCTACGAGACTCTCTCTCTCTCTCTGACGGTCAATAAAGCAATCGTACGCCTCGCCGAGTGACTGCACACGTGACATGTATAATGAATGTAAATGGTACACGATTAATTGACATTGTTCGTTTGATATGCGAGACCGCGCTTCGTCTCGTTATAAATAATAGGCGATCGAATAATAGGTGACTATAAATTAGGGCTTTCCTCATTTAATTATAGACTTTTTTCCGTCTCCCGGAATAAAATGTAACTCGAAACCCATTCTGGAGATTTCCGCGTCGAATGTTAGGAGAGCGGAATTCCTCGCGGAATGTCGCGGAACGGGCACACTAGAAAATCCCGTTTAGATCGTCATTATCCGTTATCAAGCGAGTCATGCGAGGTCTCGCGAGCGAGTGCGCACTCGCGCGCGCCGGCAGCATCGATTCGATGCGCTCTGCATCCCGTATAATATATGCGTCCCATCGCACGGGGCCCCGAAGTCAAAGCGTTATTAATGTGCCCCGTCAGAATATTCGCGGCCCGTAACACATCGTACACCGGACGGTATCCGCAGAATTATGGCGTCGTAATGTCGCTCCGCGCGCGAGCCGGCCGGCCGGCCGGCGCGGTGCGGCGTTATCCTGACGCGTCACCGTTGGTCGCGGGGCCACCGAGAATTCTATTTTCGTTGGCGTTGCTAATTATTATGAACGGACCGCGTGTGCAGTCACTCGGCCGTCGCGAGCGCGAAAGCCGCGCGGTTGGGGCCTCGGAGGGGAAATGGACCAGCGTCGAAAATAACGTCGAGAGGAAGGGGACGGAAGGGAATGATGTCGAGAATGATTTGGGAATCCCGTCTATCGACAGGGATGACCGGAATCTTATTATTCTCGCGAGGACGGTTTGGTAACTCGAGAGTGTCGGCAAACAAGCAGAAATTGAGACGGCCAACGGTAAAGCGTGATATGTCGTTTCAATTACGAGTCTTATCGCTTGTACGGTGTAAGGTGATGATATCATAAATGAGCGCTGAAAAGATTTAATCTTAAGGGGGATCTAAACGTCTCCCTGTCTTTATTGCGCAGATCTTAAGCGTAGACGGAAAAATATGTGGAGTAGCTTAAAGTAGTCGTTTTAGAAAACATTTTTTTTCACGTATTTGAATATTATACGCTAGTGTAGCGGATATGGAGTCCTAGGGACTCTTTAGAGATATGAAAAAGAAGGAAGATAAAAATAATTGTTCTCCATTCTGTCTACGTGCTTGTTGTCGCGATATTGTTTTGTATATTTCAACTTTAATTGCGCACAGAGCTTTTATTTATCTTTTATGAAAAAGAAAACGTAATTGGTCAAAATTACAAAATAAGTGGCAGGAACCTGCACATCCACGGTTGAAACTTAAGTGTAAAATAATTACAACCGCGGGAGTTGTGAAATAAATGCATCTTGTCTCCGCGGTGCGCGAGGGATCCTGTTTTATAAACGAGGTAATATTACGCTTCCGTCGAAGCTTGCGTTTCGCAGAAGCGCCACGCGATATTACCTTCGCCGGCGGGTCCGCGCGAAAATTTCGTCAGATCGCCGAACGCGAGCCTGTGAACAAACGAGAGAGGTTTTTCGGGACGTTGGCCCGAATGAATGCGATACGATCGACCATGACAGCTGTCGCGCATCGAACAAAGCGCGCGACCGGAAGTGGGATGTATCGACTGGAGCCGGGAGCGTGTGGATGCGGAAAAGTACGATATAATTTGCACGAGGGTCAATATTACGAGCGTATGCTGAACAACAATAACCGGCGAGAGAATTCCTACGGGATGGAGAAGGGGGAAGGGGGTAGAGTGTGAGCGAACGAGATGGAATGGTCCTGGAATGGTCCACACATGGAAGCTCCGTAAATATTGAATCCCACTGCCACCGTTCTGTGTGCGCGAACCGGGCCCGGTCGGGCCGGGCGTGTAACGAGAGACAATAAGGAGAAAGAACGGGAGAACAAATGAGAGTGCGCGCGGAGGAGAAACGCGAGAGTTTCTGGAGGCAACTGCTTTCGTACAAAAGACCCGAAGGAAGATGTCCATTATCGAGGATCGAGATAACGGGAAAGGGAAACGCGCGATTCGAACGACCGTTGTAGTCTCTTCCTCTTTGGCTCTCTTCCGTCGTCGAGCAAACAGCCGAAAGAGGTTGTTACAAGACGCATCTGTACATATGTGAGGAAATTCTATTTTCGAAATATATATATGTTGCAGAGATGTCGTGTAATTCGTTTCCTTCTTTTTTTTTGCAAAATCTCTAGAAAATCCACAAAAAAACCGGCATATCGTGGAATAAATAAAAATTACATGATTCTACTACTAGGGATTTTGCAAAATCCTAGGTTTAGTGAAATTGTGAGTTGAATTTCTTAATTTTTATTAATAAATATATTATAAAAAATTATATTTATAAATACAAATATAATTATATAAATTTTTATATATTTATAATTTTTATTCATTCCACTTTGGCAATAATTGATAATGTTTCAATTGTTTTAAACAAACACGATACTCATTTGCGTGTTCTATTCATAAATAACAAACTTTACCAGAGAAATGGTCTAAAATAACAGTTTTTTTCTTTTTTTTTACACGAATATCGATCTATTCTTCGCGCCACAAAAGGCTATTGTATATGTTAATAATAAATAAATTTTTCTGCAGCGCAAAATTCGATCTTCCCCTGTAATACGGCAATAACATTGCTCGCGGTATATCGTATTTACGTTTTTTTTCCTCTTATCAACGAAGTAACAAATACATTTTATTCCATAACGATATCGATTGAACAAAACTTATTAAGGAAGAAGATATGATATTAATCGAAAAAAATCGAGCGAAAGACGGGAGATGTCGGGATCAGAGGGGAGACGTAATTTAATTATGTTCTACGAGCACTGTATCTCCCAGTATCCATGTACGAGTATTCGGAACTAGCCGATTTATTGATGGATTAACGAAGGATTGTCCCGCAGTTTGGTCGGATTAACCGAGACGATGTCGTTGGAGATCGGCCAGCTGATGGTCCTCCTAAATTCAGCAGAATAGCGTTGTCAGTTCTCGAGGCGTTCGCCAACCTTGCGGCCGACGGATATGACTTTTCGTCGGCATTCCACGATGAAAAATAGTAATTCCCCCGGCGCAGCATCCTCTCGAGATCGAGAGAGATTCGTAAACACATGTCGCAAGCTCGTCACGCGGAACTTCGTCCGGCTAACCAGTTCTCCTTTGTCTCGCGCAAACGTTTACCTTACGCCCGACCGTGAAACTTGACGAATATTCTCCATGCGTTTTTCTGCAGTTTTCGGGGAACGGCTGTTAGTAATGAGAGTTAAAAGACTCTTGGCCTTGTCGATGCGCAAGACAAGATAAACTCGTTCGCGCGAACTGGAGGATCTGCTTATCGTATCCGGACTGATTCGCTCGCGCCGCGGAGTCTGGTTAATCGATTCAATTGAACGGTCAATTTGTGTGATCTATTTAAAGATCGAAGTGAAACGATACTTGGACGTATGCGTGAGGCAACGTTTTGTCGTGTAAAAGTGGATGGCCGAGAATTCAGTTTAGAACTCGAAAACTTTACCTATATAACGTCTTGCACACGACGTACGAAAACCTCCCGTGTATAATTCAAGCTTAAATAAGCGAAGGCGTGCGCACGAAGCGGCAAGAAACCGAAGAGCGTTGAGTCGGAACACATCATAAGCTCGTTATATCGGAAACGTTCAACATTGCTCGTTACAACGAGTTATTCCGAGCGAACCATTCCGTAGAAAGAGACGAAGTGCATTGCTCCGATTTGTCCTTCCCTGAAAAGACGACGGAACGTATCGATAACGCGCACACGCGGGAATATCGATGCCCTCGCAATATCTCTCTAGGAATATCCCGGAATTGTGCCAACAGCCGCGTTTACGGGCCCGTTCCCGACGCGCTTCGATGCAACGATAATAAACGGCGACGTTGCGCACGGCCGCCGGCCGCCGAGAAGCAGGAACGCCCGATCGTTTCGGCGGCTGCGAAACGACATTCTCGCCTCGAAAACGACCACGTTTTATTGGCCCAAGCGAAATCGCTCGGTCTCCGGTTTTTCGCGGGCATTTTTGCATTGCAAATAAGTTTTGATAGATTTTTAATTCCAAGTTTATATTTACCAATGTAATTTAACTTGATACGTGAAACGCCGAGATGTATGCAGAAATGCTTTGCGCGTAAAAACTTGGACGTTGGTATGTCAAAATATTTCTCGAAATTTTTTTTTTTCGACGAAATACCATCTGACACCTCGTACTTTCCGATTTGCACCAGGCGCGAGGCGGACGGATTCTTTTTTATAAAACGCAGACTTCGCGCGCAGGGAGGTTTATTTTATTATCTTCCAGCCGATATCAGGCAATCGTTATTTTCCATTCGCTCGACGTCCCTTCGATCCGCTTACATCCTCTCGCTCTCTTCGGGATTGATATTGACGATCCCAATTCGCGATTTCGACGACGCTATTTGCCCGTCGTGATGTACGTGCGCGAATACAATACGGCCATTGTTGGCAAAGGAAACGTAATAGCAGTATGCAGATTTTGCCTCATCCCGAGTTTGCACCATACCTTCGACAAGAACGGATTTCGTTCATCACGTACGTTTGCATAGTTTCTGGGACATCCCGACGTGGAATAGATAGTTTCGCCCGGCGAAAATCTGCGAACGTCATACGTCGATGAGAATGATAATATTATTTTTTATTCAACGCCGAGTTCACAGTGGCTTTTGCATCGATTCTTCTTGTCATCGGAAAAGAATAAAATAAATGTAACCGAGATACCTAGGATATCCCTTCACTGAAATATGCGGAGATATTTATTTTTGTCATTTTACGTTACAGTTCAGTTTCAAGCTTGAAAACTGTTCAGTGAAGCTGTGATTATCGTTCAACGAATACACATGTCAAAATTAGAATAGACTAAATATGCTCATAAACATCGAGCTAAATGTCAGTGATTTTTAAAGATTCGTTTACTGGACGCAGCGAATAAACTGAACTTGATAATTATAACAAACGCATTGAAAGTGAGCGATTAACGAATATCGCAGCAACAACCCTCTTTGAAGCGGAAATACATATGTCGTTGCCACACGCATCGCGGGCGCAACTTCGGCGTAACATACATCCGTGAGAAAAACTGTCGCGAAAGAGACGCTCTGACATTTTAAAACGTTCCACGTCTGCCCACGCGACCGGCCGGATAGTTTCGGTGTGGCGCCAAATAACGTACGGACGTCACGTCCGATTTGACATTTGCCGGAGGAAAGAGGAGCCGAGCTCGAATTATCCTCTGACAAAAGGCGACACAGCGATGGCCGCGGGGGGGCGCGGGGGGCATAAACGCGGTATGAAACACTCGCAATAACTGTCGGAAGGGCGAGTGCCCGTTCGTCGCGACGCGACGTGCGGATCCAGTTCGCCAAGCCTGATGCACTCTCGCGCGTCTCCGCCGCGCCGTCACCGCCGCTACCCTTTTCCCTCTCGCGGTCGCGCAAAGTGGAGATCTGTGTTCCCTCGGTTCCTCGCCTCGCAGCCGAGATAGCGGATTTTCACGGGCAAAAAAATATTTTATACCGGCACCCTCTCCGCGCACGTCCGAGAACGACAGTATTTCTGTACTCGCGACCGCACAGAGAAGAGAAAGAGAGAGAGAGAGAGAGAGAGAGAGAGAGAGAGAGAGAGGGAAGGAGAATCGTATAAATATACTTATATAGACAGTATATCTCTACGACGACACCTGCCTTCGCGTCTGTCGCCCGTAAGCCGCCACTTCGTGGCTTCGCGCTTAAATCGCGGAAAGGATTTTCTCACGTTATATCGTACCTTCACGTTTCTCCGTGATGTGGATTTCTTGGTAGAAAGTAGGTACCCGAGAATCTCGCGAGTGGGATCTACAAGTGCGGATGCGTCTACTTGGCAAGAAGTTTTATTACACGCACACTTTTTTTATCGCAGCTGGTATACTTTCCTTTATAACTTGTTCATATTTATCTGCTTCATGTTTCTCTACCCCTCTTTTTCCTTTTAGTATATTCCCGTATGTTTCTGGTCGCCAGCAACCTGCGGTTCTATAAGGAGGAAAAGATATTTCCGCGACCCTTTGTAGTGGGCACCGCATTGATTGCATTCTAACAGTACCGTAGCGAATTATATACGTTGATTGCAAAGACCAGGCGGCCCGCGTCGTGGCTAAAAATAGCGTATGCCGCATGGCTTATGAATGATTAACTGCGCGAACGTCAAGAAACTTCGAAAACCGGCTGACGACGAGTAAACACGCGGTGGCGGCGGTGGTTGAAATTTTATTCGAAGTCGTCGACCCTTCCTAGCTGCATCAAGCCGTATTTGATATTTCCCCAAGTCATCGTCGCGCAAATTTCTCCCGGCCGTCTCTACTCGTGTCAATTAACTCCGTCGTCGAGTTCGCGGACCTTCCGCCATTCTTGCCATCCGCGAAGATTGACATTTATTTGCAACCACGAATAAGCGCGCACAAACGCTACCCGGCTCCCCGCGGCTGTCTATTTCAGATCGTTTTTCGTCTGCGATTCCCCGCGCCGCTTCTCAACGTCGTCGTCGGCTTTCATCTTCCGAGTTTAGCTCGTCCCTTCGCGCGACTCGTCCAATATCCATCGTTTTCGCTCCGTCGATTAAACGAGATAATAACTTCGCGACTCTCCTCTTCGGATTGCGGATTCGAGGTCACGTCATAAATGCGCGGAAACGCGAAATCTCGGTGGAATTACAACTCATCGTAGTTTATCTTAGCGCGCAACTCGACGTCGATTACTCTTCCTCAACGGTTTATCACATCTTACCTTATATAGTTATGAAAACCGCATTATTTACGAAGGACTGATGTGCAAAGATGCTCGAGCGATCGGTTGTATTATGCGTAATATAAAAAATATATCTGTAGGTCTGTTTGTTTTCGCTGCACTTCTAAACTAGTGCAGTAAGTTAGAATGAAAGAAAATACATTTGTTTCATTCTAACTTATTGCACTAGTCCAGAAGTGCAGCGAAAACGAACAAGCCTTATATGTCGCAGGAATTTCGTGTAATTTATTTTTTTGCAAAATCTCTAGGGAATCCACAAAAATCCGGGATATTGTGATGGAATGAATAAAAATTATAAATATATATTTACATAATTATATTTGTATTTATAAATATAATTTTTTATAATATATTTATAAATAAAAATTAAAAAATTCAACTCACAATTTCACTAAACCTAGGATTTTGCAAAATCCCTAGTAGTAGAATCATGTAATTTTTATTTATTCCATCAATAAATCGGCTAGTTCCGAATACTCGTATATGGATACTCGGAGATACAGTGCTCGTAGAACATAATTAAATTACGTCTCCGCTTTGACATCCCGACATCTCCCGTCTTTCGCTCGATTTTCTTCGATTAATATCATATCTTCTTCCTTAATTAGTTTTGTTCAATCGATATCGTTATGGAATAAAATGTATTTGTTACTTCGTTGATAAGAGGAAAAAAAAACGTAAATACGATATACCGCGAGCAATGCTATTGCCGTATTACAGGGGAAGATCGAATTTTGCGCTGCAGAAAAATTTATTTATTAACATACAATAGCCTTTTGTGGCGCGAAGAACAAATCGATTTATTATTCGGTTCCGTTTTTTTTTAAAGCGAAACGAGGAAAATGTTTGCTTACCTCTCAGTGGTGCTTTTCACGAATTCGCCTTTCCAGAGACCGCAAGTCAATTCGCGAGCAGTTACGGCGAAAAACATAAGATTTATAGCCAGCAGCACTCCAATCGGTCCAAAGAAGTATGCCAAAATTTCCATGTCACCTGCAAGGTAAACAGACATTAAAATTCTGTAGAAGATAAAAAACCGCGGTCTACGATTGTACAACACGATTATTCTTCTCGCGTAACTGCAGTATGATGAATAATCTTTTCAATATTGTTTATTTACCCAAGTGGTAATTTTTTATTTGACGATATATTCCTGACATTTCGTTCGTGAGAATAATACGTATTATTTTTTTATCGTATTAATCTTTAATTTCACGTGTAAATTTCACGTGAACGGAGCCTACAATTCCTGTAAGTAAGTAATAATAACGCTGACGACGTTTACGCGATTAAAACGGTAGTAACGGGTTCCCTAGAATCCACGTGTTCCACGAGGAATGAGCGCCGATTTCTATTTTGGCTTCGCTAACGACTTGCCAACACGAAACGATTCTTGCACCTGGATTAATCATATGGCGGTTCTCGCCCGCCTCAGGGACGACCTCAGAGTCAGGTCGATATTCCAGATTTTGAGCGGCGCGCAAATGCTCGGACGGCGGTGGAGCTGCTTTCGCATTGCAAACGGATTCAATAATAAACCGCGCGATCGACTGAATGGACATCGGGTTTATCCCCGCGGCGCTTAACGCAGCGTCGCATCTCCGCGATTCGTGGCATCTATTCGAAACGACGAGCCGTTTGCACCAGAAAACGCAGCACAATGCTCGCAATCCTTGCGTATACCGGAAGTAAAAAAATCCTCAATATTTCGACTCGTTGCTAATCACTTCGCTTGCGCTTGTTAATTAAAACTCGCGTAATTCTCGTGTTCTATGAAAATACGAAATTCTAATCTATTAATATCAAGTGAAAAGGACCGTCATGTTACATACGATCAATATAGAAGAAACTGCCATTTACGGTCCGAGCTGGATCTTGGTAGCCTAGCAATATTTTCTGTGTGTATTTATATATTTCCAACTTAATAAAACTGCTAATCTATCAAATTTTCAATCTATCGACAAATCCATTTAGAGACGCGAAGGGAAAGGCGCGGTCTCGGAATGCGGAAGGGAGACTTTCGTAATGCACGCGGGCGGAAATAGACGGAGGGATTTATGACAAACAAATAAATCGTACGGTGTCGACCTGCCGACAGACGCGCGGGCGCGGTTTATTTTCTTGCACGTATCGACGGACGGGGCGGCGTACGTTACGGCGGAAAGAAAATAGGGGCGTCCGTCGCGCCAGCCGGAAATCGGCCTTCGAACGACCGTCCGAATGTGCGACGCGTCGCTCTCATTTATTCTTAATTATTTATGACGCCGCGCGGAGAGAGCACGGTAGTTCGGCGATCGCGTGCGATAATAATCAATGAGGCGAGACGCACTTTGTTTCCGTTATCCAATAATGTTCGATAGCCGATAACTTCGCTGCAGCGTCACTGCACATTTGTCTCTCCCTCGCGCGGATAGCGTTGTTTACGCACCCACCCGGCCGCACATATCTCAAGCGATTAAATTTTTTCGCTCTCCTCGTGGTGTGCGTGCGCCATTTCCAAAAAGGACGTAATTATTCCTCGCTCCACAAACGGCCGCGGGATTAACCCATCGTCCGATTTTTAATTAAAAACTACCGCGGAATAAATATGAAAATATGGTAATGCTTTGTTTTTACGATTTTATGAATTAGATAAAATCGGATAAAATAACAAAAATACGAAAAAAAATGTTCAGTTTAATATCGTTTAAAAGACTGTGTTTTTTTTGTGGTATACCTACTAGAAATTATATTTCTCTTGTTGTATATACCAGGATAGTTTTCATCAGAATTGTTCACATTCTCATGAACTCTTGTTGCTCAAAAGTATGCCAAGAATATATAACTCGCAGTCCTTTGAAATGCTTTTCGGGAGTGTGGTAACTGGTAACAATGCTAACGACCGTGGCTTTTGTCTCTTATTGTTGCCTACGTCATAACTCTCTCCCTCGTTTACCCGCAAATCCTCCCTCTATTTTTTTTAGAGAAAATGCTTTTCGCAAAATTATTAAAGCTCCATCGGAACATTGTATTGTATTTCACACGATAAGCCGAAGCACGGTAATCGAAGGGCAAAAATAAAAGTGAAAAATCCAGGCGATTCAGAGGGAGGTGGGCGAGGACGTGCGAACGCGCGATTAAGCGTGGTGAATTTTGCACCAGGTTACAAAACAACGAGGGTATATTCCGTGGCGATCACGCGACCGCTGCTCGGTGATCCCGCCGAAATTGCATCCGCGCGCGGGAAAGGGCGATATGTGTTTAGCAGAAATCATGGCAAATCACGCGGAGCGTGCACTTACCCAATCGCGGGTCGGATCGGATCGGTTTCCCGTTTTCCGCGCGCCCGGTGCAAGGCTGCCGCGATTCCTCGAATTCCCGGGATGTGCACGCGCTGGTACGCGCGCACGCTCGGATTTCAAGTTCAAGACAGACATCCCCCCCCGTATCCCATATCCGTTCGTTAAATCCGCGCGTATCGCAGATATTTGCGATATGCGCGAATTCATATTGCTCTACGTACGATACCGTTTGCCATCGCGCGGATACACCGAGTTCCAGCTTATGATATATAATGCGAGAACAAAATACGCCGATATTAAAGCGAGATTAGTTTCATCTGCGAAAAAAGATATTTGAATTCTGAAAGTTCTGATTTCACGTGGAAGCATATAGCATAAAAATATGTAATATTTAATATCCATTTCATTTCCATACACATGTAATATCGGAGAAATAAGATATTCCTAAATTTAGCAATTTGATTATATTATTTGACTTTATGTTATATTATTTGATATATCATTCTGTGACAAAATGTATAAATAATGCATGGAAAATATGTATGTAATCGCATATACCCTTATAAATGAGTTTATGTAGTTGCGTTATACAAAATAGGATTAATTTACATTTTATTATTATGCTTCTCCAGTTTATATATGAAATAATACATATAGTGTCCACATCTCTCTCTCTCTCTCTCTCTCTCTCTCTCTCTCTCTCTCTCTCTCTCTCTCTTCCTCTCTTATTATACTTTCACTCTCTACTCCGTATAATGCAAATTATTAAAAAAAATTGATTATGATTCATTAAACCAATAGGTATTATGTACAGTCAAAATGTAAAATAGTTATTACACAGCCTCGAACACCGGAATTACAAGAATTTAAAGCGACAGTAAAAACAGGAATCACGCGCGAAGCCCGCTGTTTCGATCTTCACGGTAATTTGGCGATAGAAACCCCGGCCGAAAGACTCTCCACGGTCGAGTCGCTTCTATCGGGGTGATTCGCCCCCTCACAGCCAACCGGTTCCAACGACTCTTCCAACCCCATAACTACGGATGCAATCTGCCAGAAACAGGCTTCCACGAGGACTCCTCCCGTAGCCACTTATCGGCTGCGGGGAGGTACCCGCGCGTCCGCAAACAAATCCATAAATAAAATCCTTAACGGAGAAGCTTCAAGTGGCAACGCATCGCACACCCTTCGCGCAGCGATATTAAGTTGCGACTGACCCAGTCGAGATTTTTCTCGAGAACTTGCTCGACGGAAGTTACAACGAAAATTTAAAGCGAGCCCACCACGCATCCAATTGATCGGTCACGGGCATTGAGAGACTCGATTTTTTTTTTTCGAGGCGGATTTTCGCCCGAATAGATTCGCGACAGAAATAAAGTGTCGGAGCAACGACCCGAGAAATTCCTATCGCAAAAGCTGTACGTACGGATCTGTATATAAAGACCACACGGGGTCATCAATATCATCGTAATATCGTACATTTTTCAGAGGCGATCCGCTGAAAAAATTCAAGCGCGAGTATTTGTCACGGCGGGGCTTGGCACGCTCGCAAGATTAAATCTAATGTGATTTAAGGTAATGTGATTTAGGCGGCGCGCATAAGCTTTTGGGTATTTTGCGCTTGATATTTAAGAGAATGCTTTAAAATTATGTGGCGATGTTGGCTTTATAAAAATAAGCTCTGGCCAGTCTCCACGTGCATCGTACACAAGTTCATTCTTCTTTCTTTTAGCTCATTTATTATTAGAAATTGCTCGGATCAATCTATGGTAATCAAACGAATAATGATGCTAAAATTAATTATTTTTACCAAATTAAATTAAATTAATTAAACTCTTAATTTTTATTTTGGCAGAAAATGTAGTTTCAGTAACAACTTTTGATTGATTTCCGTTCGATCACACAAGAAAAACATAACACTCTATCTAAAAACTTACAACATAAATAATATCTAATACTTATCTGTAACAAAAAATTTATAAATTTCTAATAATCTGTCTAAAAACAATAATCGTGACGATTTATTTTTTATACCTACAAGTAACAGTCAAATCATCGTACACGTCGAAAAAATTGTTCTATCGCAAATTCGTGTTCGAAAATCGTGTCACACGATACGTGGTAATGAATATATGGTATACATAAAATAATGTGACGTGTATTTTTTTAAATGCGTGCGAACGTATCCGATCAACGAACCTTAAACGCTTAACTATCCAATAAAATGACAATACAGATATATATCCCCAATGTTTTCCTTACTGTATTTGTTAAAGCATTTTTAGACGAGGCAAATACAGAAAAAAAAACACGAGCAGTTCAGTGTCGTGTGACTCCAATAAATACAAACAATGGCCGTTTAAACACGGTGCATGGCTTATATCGGATGTAGCGAAATAAAACAAACGCGAAAATTACAGACAGACAGCGAATTGCGGCGAAATCGAACGATTGAGTACAGATTTGCGTTGTTCAGAATAACCATTACTCAATCCAAGCTCCGTAACTTTGTATCAACGATCACTAGTCGTTCTGCAAGCCGACACCCGTAGAGCTAGAATGTATTCATCGTAAAACTCTGAAATATACTGACATTCCATTGATGTTTGCAACGTACACTTTGCTCTCTATTCAACTACTGCTTTATTTTATTACGGGATAAAAAAAATTTATTTGACTTATTATTAACTTGTCAGAAGCGCTCCGCAAATC